GCTCGATCAGATGCTTCCGGGGTGAGCCCGCCTTGCAGACACCACGTGATTATGGCCATCACTGATTTCACGCAGTGCGTGGTGTCTCACGAAACTCTTTCAGGTGCTCGCTCCCTGCTGTTCACGAAGGCGGTCACTTAGGAGGAAGACGCAGATGCTGTTGGACCCAGTTCCCGGAGCAGCAGGCAGAGGCCCGGAGAGGACTCGCCTGTGACCACAGAACTGCTCACGGTACCGGAGGGGGCCCGCCGAGGTCCCCTGAAATAGAAGCTGGGCTCAGCCACGACGGCACGGAGCAGAGGGCTCCGGTCACCTGTCAGCCGGCAGGCTGAGAGCCCACAGCGGCCGCTGGCAGGCGGCAAGTGCAGGGAGGATTAAGGTTGTTGATGTTTTTGTCTGTCCTGCTCCCAGCAGAACCCACATGGCATCAGAAGCCAACTGTCACGGCGTGCTGGCCAGAGGGGCGCCTTTGTGGTGGGCCACGTGGCCCCTGGAGCCAGTGCCACTGGGCATGCTCCGTGTCCTCCAGGCGGAGCCTCCTGGCTGGCCCCTGTCACCCCAGAAAGTTCCTGAAACTTGTGTGTCCTATTTCCTCCAGCTCGGGTCCCGTGGGGGTGGGAAGAGAAGACCCCGTCCCTGCATCCTGTGACCTCCCGCCCCTCCTCCTGGGCATCTCAGCTCCTGGGAACCACCCCCCCAACCCAGGTGGGGAGGAAGGCATGGGCACAAAACAGCTGGGAGCTGCCACCCAGGCTGTGCCCTCCCCCCCTGCCCCCACCCTGCTGGGCCTGGACCGGTCACTCTTTTTCCATCCCCAGAGATGCCAAAGGCGTGCCCTTGCCAGAGTCATTACACTTGGCCCTGTGGACTGACCTCCCACTTCTCTGGGAGTCCCGCTTTGATGGTGATGGCGGCAGGAATGGGCCCCTCCCAGTAATGCTCTGCCAGCCCAGGATGGGGGGTGGTCAGGAAGTTGTGCTTCTGTTGGAGGTGTGGGTGGGGGGTGGCAGTCCGGCCAGGGGCATTCCCCCCGAGAGAGGCAACAGGAGGCAGTTGGGACGGATGGGCACGTATCTGGAATATATCCGCCCACAGGCTGTCTGACTGCCTATATTAGCATGGACATAGTCCAAAGGTCAGATTAAGCCCCTGGTCATTCATCCTAGACCACTTTTCTCATCCGCTAATTGGGAATGAAATCCAGTCCTTCATAAAGGATACTGATGGGAACGGAGGGTGGGGGCGGGGCAGGGCTGCCTGTAGGTCCCCACCTGGCAGCCCAGCTCCTGGATCTTTCTCAGACCACCCTGGGTCCATCCAGCTGTGCGGGCAGGGCGCGGGAGGATGGTCCAGGGGGTGGAGGGTTGGAAAGGCTAACCCGCGCTGTTTCTCTTCAGCTCTCTGCGCATCCTAAACAGGAAGTGGCGCCCAAGTGCCGAATTCTGATAAGTGATTCAAGGTAAAACAATAAACAAAAAACGCACCTGAAGTGGTCCTATCCGGCCGGGGCTGGACAGAAATCTAAACACAGCTGTTGATGGGTGCACTCATGCCCTGCCATGCCGAAGGGAGAGTGGGTTTTCATCGAGTCTAAACTTCCTGGGTTGCAACAGAGATGGTCTGAGTTCCCAGGGAGAGTATAAACAGCCACGTCTTACATGACACTCCACCGGCAGGCCCTTGACATGTGCCCTGGGAGGGAGAGGCTGGGATCACACCCATTTTGCAGATGAGGAAACAGAGGCTCGGAGAGCTGAGTGTCACGTGACTAGTAAAGGGCAAACCAGGATGTAGTCCATCCTGACTCGACTCCCTTGTGTAGCTATTCTGCAGCTTGGCCCAGCAAAGACTCTTCCGGAAAGGGCTTCGGTGCGGGGGGCCAGGGGCCCTTGGGGCCTTGAGCTACCTGAAGCCCTGGGAGAAGGCAGGACTCGGCTGTGTGCTGGGGAGGTCTGGCCCGTGCTTCAGGACAGAAGGGATTTATTGACAAGGGAGCCGGCAAGCTGGCCTAGCGGGCTGCAGGCCCTGGCCTTGGCTCACCGTCTGTCTCCTTCTCTCTGTGTGATGGGGCCTCTAAGATGGTGCTCCCTGCTTCCAGGGGACACAGACAGGCCCATTCTCACAGCCCGTCACCACAGAACCAGCCTGGGGACCAGCCCAGCCTGGGTCGTGGGCCCATCACTGTGGCCTGGGGAGTGGGGTCTGTGAGCAAGAGACGCAGAGAGGGTACAGGAAGAGAGAAGCAGAGGGTGCAAGCCACCTCGGGGAACACACACCGCCTCCATCTCCCTGGGACCCTGGCACCACAGTCCCAGGCACCAGAAGGGACTCCTGTATTCCCAAAACAAAGGGGGAACAAATGAGAGTTGCAGAATTACGGAGCTAGAAGCCTCCCTGGATTCTGCTTGACTTGGCCTACGCGCTGCATTTTTGTGTCCTTGGACCAGCAGTGGCAAGACTGGGTCCCTATGGCTCCATCACCCTATCCAGGGCTCTCTCAAGGACACCACGAAATCCACCTTGCTGCTCCAAAGAAATGACTCAGACGAAGTGAAATATGACTGCAGAGGCGCTGCCCCTCTGGAGGAAGGCTCAGTTCTGACCCTCCAGGGAAAGAGGAACAGACAGCCGCTGGAAGCTTCATGCCTAAAACCACCACCAGTTCACGCGCCAATGTGGTCTCCAGGCTTCCCTCTTTACAAAATCTGACTGTGGACTCTCCTCGGATGGAGGCAGGCGCACACAGCGTCCCCGCTGTCTACCTGTCCAGGGACTCTGTCTTGGATCCCTGGGTGTCCTGGGGGCATCCTCAGAAGCACTGGCCATGATGCAGCTTTTCGTCCTCCAGATAAGCTACTTTGGGTCACCATTTCATTCGGATATGCTTACTGGGATCCCCGAGGACCTTGTGGCTGTCAGACAAATCCTGTGCCTGTATGTTCAAGCCCCTCGATGGGTCCCAACTCCACCCAGGGATGAGGAAGTCAGAGACACGCATGACTTTGTTTATGTGTTCAGGCTTCACCTCTCTGAGGTTGGCTGGAATCTTGCTACGTGCCAGGCAGGGCCGCATGACCCTCACCCTGCCCTCAGGTAGCTGGCGATCTAGAGAGAGGAGACAGGGATGTACCTGAGGTGTTCCTGGTAGATTTCTACACAACGCGCCCCACGATCCAGGGTCATAGCATCCCACATGTTGATTACACAGTCCCATCACGGCAGCATAAGGCAGCTACGTGCCAGCATGCGAGTTCAGCCAAGCTCTGATACAGCCGTATGCACCCAGCCGGGGGCAAGCTGGATACGGCTCATGGGCTGCCATTTGCCCATCCTGCCCCCAAGGGCGGTGCTCAGGCTACAGGTGACCTGCTGGCATGGCCAGGTTCAGAGTGGGCAGCCTGGCTGGAAAGGGAGACACACGGCCGGGCAAAGGCCCTGCGGTCAGCACCCCACAGGATGTTCAGGCCGCTACCACCCCGTAACGTGGTTAGACTTGGGGAATCGGGAGTGGGAGGCTGGAGAAGCTGTGGGCAGCTCGGGGGGCCCTGTTCTCGGGGCCAAGGGGAAGAGGAAGAACAGGCTCGAGGCATGCGTGGTCAGCCCTCTTCCAGACACTTCACATCCACAGTCCCAGTTTCACTCACAGAACACAGTGAGGTCGGTACCATCATTTGGTTTATTTTTTGGTTGCACTGGGTCTTTGGTGTGTTGCACGGGTTTTCTCTTTGTAGCTTTGCACGGGCAAACTTGCACTTTGCACGGGCAATTGGGGGTCACTCTTCATTGTGGCGCGTGAGCTTCTTACTGCGGTGGCTCCTCAGGTTGCAGCTCCCAGGCTATAGGCGCACTGCTCCAGTAGCTGTGGCTCACAGGCTTAATTGCTCCGTGGCACGTGGGATCTTCCCGGAGCAGGGATCAAACCCGTGTCCCCTGCATCAGCAGGCAGAGTCCTATTCACTGTGCCACCAGGGAAGTCTGAGTCCGCACTATTAATCCCATTTTGTGATGGAACGCTTGCCCAAAGGTCACTGCCTGGCTGAGTGGCCGGCGTGTTTTGTGCCAGACCCTGGCTGTCTCCCTGCTGCCCCTGGAGACCCCCAGCCCTGAGGCCCCCTCCCTCCCTCGTCCCATCAGTGTGGCCTCCCCTGTCAGCGGGGAGAGAATGCCAGGATCTCTGAGACTTGGAAGAAAGTTAAACCATGGGTGACGTGGTGCGGTGCGGGAGGGGTGCAGATCTTGAGAAGGGGCGCTGGCCTGTCACCCCATTAGTCAGGCTGGAGCCTCCCCCATGGCTGGCGGGGATCTAGGGGAGCCCCGTGGGGAGGGCGTGCCTCTGTGGCTGCGGTTTCCTGCTCTGTGGCATCACCCTGGCTGGGGCCCACCTGGAGCCCATGCCGGGCAGCAGGCGTCATGCCCGAGGTCACAGAGTGAGAGGAATTCCGGAGCTTCCGGCTCAGAGCCCCCCTGCCCAGCTCTGCTCTGGCTCCGTCTTCATGGTAGCTTAGCTACTGGATGCTCCTTGAGCCCAGGATATTCTTAGAGCCCAGGCTCTGATATTGAGAGTCATTTGCAAGAATTCTATCTTCCATATTGGCCAGTCATTTGGTGGGTACTCAGCAGACCCTTGATGAATTAAATAATAATTGACATCAAAGTGTATCATTTATCCAAATAGCTTTCAGTCTGTTCTTCACATCATCTCCACAACAAGAACTCTGAGGCCACTTGACAGAGGGTCGTCCTTGACACGGGTCTGGTTCCTGGTTATTCAAGGTGTGAACTCGGACTGGAGCCTCCGGCCCCTCCCTGGACCTGCTAAATCAGAACCTTTATTCTAACAGGATCCCTGGGTGATTCATATGCACATTGAAGTTTGAGAAACCCCGGGAATATGATTATGCAACTGTACCCAGAAGTGGTCACTAATCCCATCTCAACTCTTGGTTTGTTTTTTTTTTTTTTGCCTGTGCTGGATCTTCATCATGGCTGCATGGGCTCACCTCTAGCTGTGGGTAGCGGTGGGTGGGCTTCTCACTGCGGTGGGTCGTCTTGTCGCGCTTGGGTCCCAGGCTCTAGAGTGCGGGCTCAGCAGTCGCGGTGCACCAGCTTAGCTGAATGCGGCATCTTCCCAGACCAGGAATTGAACCTCTGTCTCCTGTGTTCTCAGGTGGATTCTTCACCACTGACTGAGCCACCAGGGAAAGCCCCCATTTCGATTCTTAACTCACCTCTAAAGAGATAGTCTTTATATATTCTGAATGCAGCTAGATGTTGAGGCCAGAGAAATGGCCACCCACCCCACCGCCCGGGCCTCTTCCGCTTCCCAGTCCTGCCAATTGCGTGCACCTGCCCCGCCCCTGCTTCTGGTGGTAACAGTGGCTGACAGCGATGACGGTGGTTCGATAGGTAAGAAGGAAGTGAGAGCAGAGAAATTTTAAAGTCACACACTCGAGAGTCAGAGCCAAATACCTTAGCTCTGAATTCCCATCTTTCATCTGTCTCACGTCCCGCTTCTTCCTTCCTTTGCCCAGCCTTTAGAGGGTGAGAGTGAGGGCAAGTGACTTTTCCAAGGTCCTGCGGTGATTATTAAAGTGGCGAGGGGGCTTCCCTGGTGGCTCCGTGGTAAAGAACCCACCTGCCCAGGGCAGGAGATATGGGCTCGATCCTTGGTCCGGGAAGATTCCACACGTCCCAGAGCAACTAAGCACCACAGCTGCTTGGCCTATGCTCTAGAGCCTGGGGGCTGCAGCTCCTGAAGCCTGCGCGCCCTAGAGCCTGTGCCTGCGCGGTAGCGGGAGAGGCTACCGCAATGAGAAGCCCGCATACAGCAACAGCGAGTGGCCCCTGTTTGTTGAAACTAGAGAAAAGCTGGCTCACAGCAACAGAGACACAATGCGATGAAAAATAAATAAATGCATTCATTTAAAAAATAAAATAAAGTGGTGAGAGAGGGAGCAAGGGGCTACGGATTCCTTGGTGTCAGCACGGTCCCTGGAAAGATGGCAGGCACCCCAGTGCCCCCGGGTCCCCATCCCTAGGCCCAGCCCTCGATCCCTGACACACAGAGGTCTCTGCGTTGTTATCTGAGCAGGCGCTGCCCTTCTCCACGGCCACTGCCTGGGGCAGAGGAAACTATAGCTACTTCAGAATCAACAGGCTTGTTTTGAATCTTAGTTCCACAATCTGCAAGCAGCGTGGCTTTGGCCAAGATAAACGCTCTCTGAGCCTTTTCTTCATTTGTAAACCAGGGGCAGTGTCCACGCTGCAGACTGGCTGTGGTGCTGAGAGAGAGAATGTCCCCCAGGCCTGCACCCAATCTGGCACTTACTGAATGCCCCCAAATTAGCTGCTAGCATTTCTCAGAGAGTTGTTCCCAGTCATCGCCCAGCAACGCCTTCTTCATATTATCTCCTGGCTCCACTACATTCACTGGTTCCCTACCACCCACAGGAGAAAGTCCAGATCCCTTAGAAAAAGCCTCCCCCATTTGCTCCCCGCCTCACCCTTCCAGCTTTTTGTCCTTCTTATTCTTTAAATGGAGGTGTGCCAAGAAAAGGGCTTCCGACCCCCAAGAAAAGTTGGCGCTTATGGTAAAGAACCAGCCTGCCAGTGCAAGAGACCTAAGAGACACGGGTTCAATCCTTGGGTTGGGTAAGATCCCCTGGAGAAGGAGATGGCAACCCACTCCAGTTTTCTTGCCCGGAGAATCCCATGGACAGGGGAGCTAGGTGGGTTACAATCCATAGGGTCACAAAGAGTCAGACACAACTGAAGTGACTTAACACGCACACACACGTACACATGCCAAGAAATCTGATTTTCTTATTTCTAACTTATACAAGTATTATTTCTTCTAAAATATATAGTTTGGTTCAATAGTTGGTCAGGAGTGCTGGTTGATTATTAGAATTAAGCCACTTAAATTGATACCTTCTTGTGTGCCTACTACAAATTTTGGATGCTTTTATTTATTAACAAAGAATATTTGCTATTTCAAAAACCCTGTGCCTTCTTTTTCTGTTAAGATAATCTTGAGGTTATGACTGTTAAGAGTATATTTAAAGTTTAACCTAAATTCCATTTTCCATAGCTCACTATCTAGGTGGAGTTGGCATTTCCCCTTGTTCTAATAGATCCTCTCACGATATTGCAACATAGTTGACTTCATTCTGTTCATTGTTTAAGAGTTGTTTATTTAGTTACAGGGTTTTTGGACCCATAAGATTTTGTGGGTTTAGTTCTGGTTGATTTTTTATGCTGAAGATAGAAGTGCTGATTTTATCTCACTTTTACAGTGACTTCAATGGTTTGACATTTTCTTACAGCACTTGCTTAAAATCCCCAGTGTTGTTTTCCCTTCTTTAAGTGAGCATGAATGCTTTAATGAATGTGAAACACAGCTTAATTAGAAGGACTAGGGTGAGCTCAGGGTAATCAGGTTCCCCCCAAACCAACCCCAATTCTGCTTAGGTTGAGCTCCGGTTGATTCATCTAAACGTACCTTTCAGTCTGCTCACTGTGTTCTTAGCTTCTCCTCCCTGCGTTCCAATAAAACACATCCTGTTATGAATTAAGGATTTTTTTCATTGAGGTTGGGTATGAGTGCTTCTTAGATTGTTTTATTAATTTTTAAACCCTCTTTTGGGCTTCTCTGATGGCTCAGTGGTTAAAGAATCCGTCTGCAATGCAAGAGATGTAGGAGACATGGGTTCGATCCCTGGGATGGGACGACTCCCTGGAGGAGGAAATGGCAACCCACTCCAATATTCTTGCTGGAAAATTCCACAGACAGAGGAGCCTGGTGGGCTACGGTCCACGGGGTCACAAACAGTTGGACACGACTAAAGTGACTTAGCACAGATTACAAACCCTCTTTGGAACTATTTAACCTTGGAGACATTCACAAATGCCGTACTCTCTAACCCAGAGAATGTAGCTCCTTTGTTCTTAACCCAGATGCTATCCCTTTTCCTGACAGTTTTATGTCTATGTTTGTGCTTCCTCTTCTCAGTCAAGACTTTGCTGATCTCAAGGGTGAGGAAGCTGAGGTTTGTAGGGGAATATAGAACAGATTCTCAGAGAGATACAACCACCATATATTATATGATTTTTAAGGCATTACTACCAACCCCCTGGCAAAAAAAAAAAAAAATTACCTTGTTTGTGTTAGTTTAGGATGAAGTTCCAATACTCTGGCCGAGAGCCAATTCATTGGAGAAGACCCTGATGCTGGGAAAGATTGAGGGCAAGAGGAGAAAGGGACGAGAGAGGATAAATGGTTGGGTGACATCACTGACTCAATGGACATGAGATTGAGCAAACTCCGGGAGAAGTGACGGACAGGGAAGCCTGGCGTGCTGCAGTCCATGGGGTCGCAGAGTCGGGCACTACTGAGTGACCGAACAACAAGGATGAAGCATGGTAAAGTACCTAATTTTTGTCAGGATCTGGACTTATATATTTCTCTAAGCATCACTTTCTAAAAATCAGCAGCTTGCAAGACTTCCTTGGTGACCCAGTGGCTAAAACCTCACGCTCCCAATGCAGGGGGCCTGGGTTCGATCCCTGGCTGCAATTAAGACCTGGCACAGCCAAATAAATAAATATTACAAATAAAATAACAATCACCAATTTGCAGCCTCACATATAATCATTCATTCAGTCAACGCTCATCCACAGATGCTCAAACCATTAGGTGAGAGATCGTTCCATTCAGTTCAGTTGCTCAGTCATGGTTAGTGAACAACATATGTTCATGGCACCCAAGTACCATCCACAGCTTCACTGCAAATTGCAAAGGGAAAATGTGCCTTTGCAGTGGGGTGATCTGGTGGTCGGTCACCCCTTTAATCAGTGATCAAAATTATCCGGGACTGACTGTGTGTGCCTCCTAGTGGGATGCAAAAAGTAGTCAACACTCCCCGACGAGCGATGGTCCAAAATGTCTTATCTGCATCTCCCGAGGCTGTGAACCTGATTTCTGGTTCAGAGAAACTACAGAGGAGGGAGGAAAAGTTCAGTGACATGAACAGGCTAATTAGACAAATCTGGGCAAATCCAGACTGTGGGACATTCCACAGGATGACTGTCATAGAATCATTATAAAGTCAAGGTCACCGAGGCGGGGGAGGGGACAGGGTGGAGGATACTTCTGGACTGACGGAGGAGCACTAATGAGCAATTCCAAGGAGGCAATACAAGCTATAAAAACACGCTGAGCACAATTCATGAAATTCGAATACGGATGCTCTTAAGGAAAGACTGCTAGTTTTTTCAGCTGTTGTCATAGGACTGTGGTTAGGTAGGATATTATCGTTGTTCTTAGAAGAGTCTTGCCGGAATATTTAGGGATGACCCATCCTCCTGTCCTGTCTGCAACTCAGTTTCAGATGACATAGCCAAGCATCAGTATAAATGGTACAGCTGTACATCTATTGATCAATCTATCTACCTAGAGAGACAGACAGAAAGAGACAGAGACAGAGATTGAGAGAAAAAGAGAGAGTATACGAATATGACAAAATGTTAGCAGTTGTTTCATCTGGGTATTCTTTCAACTTTTCTGTATAGTGGAAACTTTACCCCATCCCAACTGAAAAAAAGGGAAAAAATAAAGTATCTTGATTTTTATTTCAGCTGGAGCTCTATACAATTCAGTTGAATTTGTATTTCTTCTTCAAGGATTCAGTTCTTCAGTGAATATTTCTTCTGAGTATTCATTGAAAGGACAGTGACTGAAGCTAAAACTCCAATACTTTGGCCACCTGATGCAAAGAGCCGACTCGTTGGAAAAGACCCTGACACTGGGAAAGAGTGAAGACAGGAGAAGAGGATAACAGAGGATAAGACGGTTGGGTGGCATCACCGACTTAATGGACATGAGTTTGAGTAAGCTCCAGAAGATGATGATGGACAGGGAGGCCTGGTGTGCTGCAGTCCATCGGGTCGCTAAGAGTCAGGAGAGACTGAGCAACTTTCACTTTGACTTTCATATTTATTTCTAGTTTATGCTTACCTACCTCATGTACCTTTGTGCCTATGTATGGATACTTATTACACACTTTACTAAAAT